CTGGCATCCAGGCTAACAGTAAGCATATGGAACAAGAACAACGCGAAATAAAGTGTTACCAAAAACATGCATATAGTTTAGAATGATATGAGGGTTTATGTTAATTTTGTATTTTCTTATAGGCTAGTCAACTCTAAAATGGAAAATTCTGTGATCAATTACTCTACATGTAGTTCTTAACACAGGAGACTTTGTTAATCTTTGAAACAAAGAGTAGTGTCATGGATCAGAAAGTTCAGAAAAACATAAAAAAGCAATTACATTCAAGCCTGAAGAGACGCAATAACTTTATATGATGAACAGATTTAATTTAGACTTTTATTTCGATTTATAAAATGGTTAGTTACAGTCCTTTGCTTCTGATTGGTCAGTAGCTGTGTTTTATTTACGATAAAGCATGACTATGACCGCTTCACCCAACGGTTTTGTGCATCACTGCTGCACAACTATGAGAATTTTTTTTATTTTTGAGCACCATTAGATGGCGCATATTAAACCTAATAACATCCTGTTGCTGTCCACGGTCAGAAACGAATCGGTTACCTAACGGCCGGCTACTCAATACTCGCTCCCTCATCTAGAGAGAACCGAGGTTACGTTAGGTAATCGATTTGTTCTCTTACGAGAGGTTATCTCGTATTGCGTAAGCTAGCTTACGCTACGGGAACACATTGTCAAGGCCGTGCGCGCCAAGCATCCACTGCATGAGCCCCGGGGATCCCTTATGAGTGGGGGATAATATTTGGCCGGCAAGAGTGCGGGCCAGTGTGTGTGTAATAGATAAGCACATAGTGGGAAGGGAAAGACAGAGCGGTGGTGCCGGTCCGTGTGGAATGTTTCCCATCAGTGCAGCTCACCAGGGGAGCTGTAGCGTATTAAACCGCTAGTAATTTTGCCTGCAGGGCGGGCACTTCCAGATTGTAAAATCTGACAACTGTGGAGGGGGAAGCCCAGCCCGTTGCCACACATATGTTGTGAATGGAAATCCCGCTGGACCATGCCCACGAGGAGGCCATGTCTCTAGTGGAGTGACAGTGTCTGTTTCGAGGTCGGCGAGACCCTTAGTGCGCCCTCCGAACGAAACAAAAAGCTGCTCAGAGCGTCTGAAAGAGGCAGAGCGCGCAGTATACAATCTCAGTGCTCTAACTGGGAAGAGGAGATTGCCGTCGCATTCGCTATCGGATGCTGGCAGAGCCGATAGGGAAATGATCTGTGCTCTGAAAGGAGTACCGATCACCTTGGGGACATAGCCGTGTCTAGGCTTTAAAATGACCTTGGAGTCATTTGGTCCAAACTCAAGACACGCAGCGCTGACAGACAGCGCGTGAAGGTCTCCCACACGTTTAACTGATGACAGGGCAGTCAGAAAAACGGTTTTGAGTGAAAGGTATTTCAAATCCACAGATTGAAGCAGTTCGAAAGGGGGGGGGGGGGGGGGGTCATTTTTTATGTTTTTTATAACATTTCGAGAACTATAGAAAGATCCCAGATAGGAACCGATGAGGGGCTTGTGGGCGTGTTTATTGACTAACACTCGAGCAGGCTGTGCCCGCTTTATGGGTGTGGGCTCTGATAGGGACACTAGGAGTGTAATGCTTGTGTGTAGGGGTAAACAATAGATTGTGGGCACATTTTCTACACAAAAGGCATGTTTACACTTTTAGAGATTTCTCTGGGTCGCCGTGAAAATGGCGTTTGTGTGCAGGCAAGCGGGTAGTATCACCGGCTTGTTGGCTGCTGAATCCACCCCTGCAGTAGCATGAGAGAAGGGGACTGACCGGGGCGAAGCTTTGATGGTGGTTTGGTTGGGGGGGGGTTACTGCTGCGGCTGTCTGAGCGCGATCTAGGGCAGCCACCCTGTCGACGCTGAGAAGTCTGGCTGTGCTGAGCTGGGCGCTGTGAAGATGCATGTACAGGAGGCTGGTCACGTCGGCTGCCTGCAGAGGAGCAAGCGCGACGAGGCAGAAAGAGATTCATGGCTTGGGCGGCTTTCTGGACTTCCGAGAAACGGTCAACAATTCCACTCACCGAGGAACCGAAGAGACCGGAAGGAGAGAGCGGCGGGTTGAGGAATGTGGCGTGTACAGATTCTCCCATGTTGCCAAGCTTTAGCCACAGATGTCTCTCGGTCACAGTCAGTACGGCCATGCACTTTCCTAGGGCTTGAGCTGCAAATTTGGTGGCGCGAAGGGAGAGATCCGTCGCACTCCTTAGATCTGAAACAGCCCCATTCCCGAAGAAGAAGAAGGTCTGCTTGGAGGATCTGCAAGACGGCCATGGAATGCAGAGCGGATGTGGCTTGGCTGGCGGCGGCATAGGCGCATTGGAAGCACAGATGGAAGTAGTTCTGCAGGCCTTAGATGGGAGCACAGGCTTAGACCGCCATCTCGCTGAGGGTGGGCAAAGGTGTGCTGCTACCAAATCCTCGACCAGGGGGGTGAAATAGTAGCCCTTCTCGGTGGCACCATTCACTGAAGAGAGAGAGGTGGAGACATGGGACCGGGTCCTGGCCGAAAGGGTGAAAGCGTGGCTCGAGAGAGAGAGGCTCCGGCGACAGTCGCTTCCAACACCGGTTCTGGCAGCCTTTGGGAGCAGCAGTTCTTCTTGTGTGGCGGCTTCGGTCTCGACATCGTAAGCTCCTCGCAGAGGTCGCATCCGCCGTCAGCGAGAACGAGGTCTATCGTCTATAACCTGCAGCAATTTGCGGCAGAGCAACCAATGAGCTGGCTAGCTAGCCCGCTCAAGGTCTGCAGCTGCTGCACTGCGTTGACCATGAATACAAAAATTAAGGATAATTTGGCTTCAATATCTCAGAAAGGATTAATCTTAAGAGAACTATTTTTTCCAGCGGAAGGAAGGAATTTAGTGATTTTACTTAATAAAAGTTGCATTGATACATATTTTTGATTTTAATATTTGTATTCAAGTCAAGTCAAGACACATTTATTTATATAGCGCTTTTCACAATACAGATTGTATCAAAGCAGCTTCACAGTGATAACATGAAAGTAGTACAACACAGACCAATAATATTGTTAAATATTAAATATCCCGAACTGAGCAAGCCAAAAGCAAGGCAACAGTGGCAAGGAACCAAAACTCCATCAGATTGGATGGAGAAAAAAAAACCTTGGGAGAACCCAGGCTCAGTCGGGGGCCAGTTCTCCTCTGGCTAGAGGAGAAGCAGTTTATAAAAACAATAAGGAGCTTGAGGCTAGAGCTGAATGAGATACGGCTTCACGGTGTGGTAACAATGCCCTTCACCCGTGACTCATTCACCATACGAAAGAGCCTCGAGTCTCGCACTTTACTGGTTATATTATAAACATTGAACAACGCACGTACGTAGGTACAGCAAGGACCATAAACGTGTCAAAAGATGAACGAAAGAATGGGACGACAGGATGGTAAGCAAATTATTTATTTTTTTTTGGGGGGGAGAGACTATCCGTTTAAGTGCATTCAACAATGAAGGCCAACTAGAGGCATCATTGTATAGCTCCATTAAAACGAAGCACAAGATAAAGCAATAATAAATTATGAAATTGACAGCACAACCGTTAAACCGGGAAATAATACAGATTAGTCTAATGGAAAAACGGAATAAGATTTTGGGGTTTTTTTAAGTTTTTTTTTTTTTTAAACAGTACCTGAACAAAAAGGTTTGTACGCCAACCACCATGCCTTGATTTCAACAAAGAACATTACACAAGAGACATTAATTTAACACAGAAATCGGGTCACTGAATGTGTTGTTTCGGCATGCTGTGTGCTCATCAACTTCTTCAGTATGTAGGCCACTTGGTTTGTTGAATATATTTCTGGCATTTGCTGAGATTAAACTGTATTATACAGAATAAAGCATGTCAGAACCAGGGAATGGAAAACAAGATCTCTGAAGAGGGTGGTAATCTTTCTAAACCACTGTTCCAATTTAGCACCAAGCACATTCATTCATCCAAAAAAAAAAAAAGGAAGAAAAAAAAATATGACTTTCCATTACAGCATTACTTTGACTTTTTAGAGGCTTTATCATCTTGGTGGGTGCAACAAAACAATGGATATTTTTCCCTCCATAATAAACAATGAAAGAAACATAAGACTCATGTCATAGCTTTAGCAATGCTGATATTTCTTAATTATTCACTATTCAAAATGTACTCCTTTTACAGCAAGAATCCCATAAGAAATGTAAGGACTTCCACACACTCCATAAAACATTTGGACCTTTAAGATACACAAAAATATAGTACATTGATAGAATCAGTAGTTAAAGGAACACAGGCGAAGCACTGCTACTTGGGTGCAGAGATATACCCCAACTTCCGTCAACATCCCGAGCGGTGTGACCGGTGTTGTGCCGAATTCTGACCCCCCCTAGTACGGTAGGTTTAGGATTACTTGTGGGGTCAGGATTACGCAAACAGGTACTGACGAATTTCGACACAACACCGCACCGAAATTCCTCGATATCTTTGCGCCCAAATAGCAGTGCTTCAACCCAATATAGTCCAAAGTCAATAACAGCCTAGGAAATCACCTAGTCTTAATCTGCATCGCTATTTGTACTCGTGAATACGCAGGTCAAAACTAAGACAATGCATGGACTCAGACAAAAATGCATTTGCCCACCCATCGAAAATGTAGGGGATATGTTGAATAACCCCCATTTCAAAAAACAGTGCCGTGTTCCTTTAAGCTACAAAATAACTATAAAGTTACAGTGAATAAGGATTGCACAAAGATAATCACCCCACAAATTACTGATGGCTTTTGGCTGCCCTCTTAAGATAAACATTAAACAGTGATATTAACAAAAAAGAAAAAGAAAAAAAAGCACAGCACTTACATTATGATTAAATCATTGCACAATTGTGCAATTCAGAATAACTGTGATAACTGAAAATAGATCCAGTTAGGGACTAAGGGGTGGGAAAAGGTTTGATTAAAACCATCCAGACTGAATCATGCATCAAAAGCAACAAACACCAAGAACCCAACACTGAGATCTCATTTTATTTAGAGGCCTCATTTAATTGATAGGTATGAATTCAGTTTACACAAAACCCTTTAAAAAAGTCAACATGCAGTGATCACAAGGATAAAGAGAAGATCCTATAGATTCAGAACAAAAGATTTGAAAATGGTGTCTAGGCCATACACTTCAAATATTCACAGTGACTCATGTTTCTTTTCTTGTCCATGTATTCATACAGTTTTAAACATACAAGGAAGGCATTGTTCTGACACAGAACAGTCAAACATCAAAAGCTTTAGGAATTTTAAAAAACCCTGTATCAAAGTCCAGTTTGACTTGCAGGATCCCAACATGCTGCTTTACACCTCCACGACCATCTCATAATTTAAGGAGGTAAAGCTCAACAGCTGTAGGGCTCCGCCATCTTTAGTCCCAAAAGGAAAAAATTATTATTTTTAAACGTCTAGTTTCCGTACCAATTTCCGTGTCCGGGCTGAGGCTTTTATTCTGTACAATTAATGTAGTGGAGACCTAATTCTCTCACCAAATTATTTTAAAAACAGATAATGCAGGGCATAATGCAGTGGAGATTAAGCTCCTCTCACTGAAGACTTTGAAAATATATGTACAGATTACTCCGAGCAATAGAAGTTTCTTGGCATCTCTATTGTTAAGAAAAGGGAAAAAAAGCTTCTTTGCGAAACAAAGAGAACAGCAGCTTCCTGTGCACATCCTAATACCAGCATTCCGATCAAATGTGGATGACGATCTTGAGAATCAGAAAGAGTCCTTGACATTTCACACAGCCGTGATATAAAAATAGATACTGACCTCCGAAGCTACACCTTCCAAACAAAGCCATATTTAATATCGCATAAAATAAAAACACTTTACAAAATGGCTAGTTTTCTTATAAAGTAAGGCACTGCATTAACGTTTATTCTCTGGAATAGTGCTGCTCAACATCTCTGGCTGGTTTGAGTGAGTTTAGACGTAGGCCCCCAAAGCTGCATGGAACTCAGTGAGGCATTGGACGAGCTGTTGGAATTTTGGTCTCTCTTCTGGATCCAAGGCCCAGCAACAAGCCATCACTGCAAATCTGAAACAGAGAACATCCTCATATAAACAAAGCATTTACTTTTATCAGATCTGTGAGGTGACTGATGAAGCCACGGCAGATTTATCAAAGAAGAAAGTACTGGAATGGACAAGATGTATTGGTCTTGATTACATTTGACAGCAACAATTGAAACGGGCTTGAGTGTAAGTTGAGATCCCTTTACCACTCCATTTCTATTCAAGCTTTGAATACACAAGCAAGCCACAGAACTCTTTTTCATCACTTATTCTCTGGAGGAAAGAGTACTAAACTACGATCCAACACTGATTAGCTTTTCCTGCGTTCTATAAACTGTGTTCCGGCGACTGCATACAAGACAATTAATTTTGCAGTGTTTGGGGTCACTGACACAGTCAGCGCTCGTTGCTTTGTAATTCCTGGCTGGTTCGATCGCCACGCTCTGGTTCCCTAGCTATTGCAGGATGCCGATAAGGGTCAGATTGTGCGGATAACATGCAGTTATGCTTGGATCAAACTGTCCATTTAGCTTTCTAAAGGTTCAGTTAGTTTCCTCAGAAAATAATCAAGATTTAAGAAAGTTGTTCTTACTGACACTTTGGGAGCCTTGCCAATCACTCAGGAATGCAAGTTCACAATAGTTGATTTATTTTTAACGTATTTTCGATATTAAATCAGTACATGGAAATAAAGTTATATACTCAAATTGATTGAAATACAGATTAAAATATCAAACTCACAATTCGTCAGGGCAGTTGATGGGTTGTGCTATTCTGTAGCCATCCTTCAAATAGGCGGCCATCTCGAAGGGGTCAATGTCAACGTAAGGAGTCTGTCCCAAGGTCATCAGCTCCCACAGAGTTACCCCGAACGCCCACTGTAAGGGAAACAACACACAATAGCTCAGACCAGGCTGAATGAGGCACGATGACTGAAACAGAAAAATGATCCCTCCGTTTCAACAAGTGAGATCACTAGAGGCTGACATTATATATAAACACATAAATTGTATTTACAGATCAGTATCTAAATGCAGAAATATGTTCTTATTTGAATCTTCATAAAAGACATGTAGGGGGGTTTCTCGTTTTAAGTAATTCCACAAAAAACCTCTGCTCTTCAACTACTTTTTGACGAAAATATATAATCAGCCAATCACATGGCAGCAACTCATGGTCAAGATGATCTGCTGAAGTTCATAGTGAGCATTGAAATGGGAAGAAATGTGATTTAAGACTTTGAACATGGCAGTTGGTGTCAGACGGGTTGGTCTGAGTTTTTTCGAGAGTGGTACGAAAAGAAAATATCCAGTGCGCATCAGTTCTGTGGGCGAAAATGCCTTGTTGATGCCAGAGGTCAGAGGAGAATGATTTGAGCTGATAGAAAGGCAACAGTAACTCAAAGGTCTGCAAAAGAGCTTCTCTGAAAGCACAACACGTTGAACATTGAAGCAGATGAGCTACAGCAGCAGATCACCACACCGGGTGCTAGTCCTTTCAGCTAAGAACAGGAAACTGAAGCTACAATTCACACAGGCTCACCAAAATTGGTGAAAAAACATTGCCTGATCTTAAAAGTCTTGATTTCTGCTTCGACATTCAGATGGTAGGGTCAGAATTTGGCGTAAACATGAAAGCATGGATCCATACTTTGGCACACTTTGGGTCCCTTAGTACCCACAGAGCATTAGCCGCGTTTCCACTGCCGGGCTAGGGCTGGGCCAGAGCTAACAGCGAGCCGGGCCGAGCTAGTGGCCTCGGGCCTCAAGCACCGGGCTTGCGTTTCCACTGCCGGGCCAGTAGCCCCACAGCGCTGCCCCAGACCCCACCCCTAACACGCCTTTCAGGATCAAACGTCATAAAACCCAACCCATTTCAGCGGGTATTATGAATTAATTTATTTTTTAAATTAGGAAGATAGCATGTATATTAACTCAACTGCGGTAGTGGCTGCAATAGTGTCCCGAGACCAGTACAGGCGATTCTCCATTTGAAGCAGCGATTTTTTGCGCGATATAACAAGTAGGGCTGCGGGCACGTTTTCAAGTTATTCATTAATCGTTAACCGAGGCCCATCGGTTTACACTCGGTGCATAGTGTGCGCGCCGCAACCTCGAGATACAGATTTTTTTAACACCTTTAATAACTGATTGGACCCCATTTGAAACGAAATTAATTTATAGAAATAAAACGCAGCAAGTACGGAGCAGTTAAAGCCCCATTTCCATCACCCTTCAAACTGAAATTGCCAATTGAAAATAAGCAAAACGTCCATTTCACAAAAACTCCGTGTCTGCAAATAATAATAATAATAATAACCATCATCATCATTATTGTAACATTTTATTAGGCTGCATATGTAGAAGACGCCTTTATCCAAAAAAGGAACAGAGCACAAATAAACACAATATTTTTGACAAATATCAGCGCATATCCAGTGTGTGTGGAGCACGCACTGATGGCTGCGAGACGCCCATGTGAACAGTTTCATTGCATTTCTTTCAGAGGAAACAACTTAAAATACTCTTTAATTTCTGGTCATACAGAAAATAATAATACATTATTCGCAAATAAATTTATTTATAACAAGAAAACGTTGTGCTTTAACAATTAATCAAGGCGCGCTTCATGATCTCCGTGAAGCGCGAGACCTGAAACAGCACCGCATTCGAATTTGTTCGTTTTAAATTGGACATTTAAAGCTTTAGTCTACAGGGGTTATATCCTTTGTAGATTAAAGCTTTAAATGTGCAATTTAAAAAGAACAAATTCGAATCGAAAGCCAATATCTTCTATGTTTATGTAGCTTAATTTCTCTCTAAATGTGCATCCGGAGATGGAGATATGTTTTTAGCCGAAAATCATTTAGAAAACAATAGTTTATTAATAAACAATTAATGCCTCGTTATTTTATATTATTTTATTATCAGACACATTTATTATAGCCTATAAATCACCCATAACTCCCCTTTCTGTAGGCTGTGGTTACGGCTCTTCTCATTCAGCACTGCGGGGAAAATATCATTTCCAGGTTCTAATTTGGCCTCAGAAAACCAGTAAAATATATATTTTTTTCATATTAATTTGTCAAATATTTTAAATGTTTAAGGGGCAAAAAAATCAAACAAATATCTGAAAATTCGTCGATATGTAGCTATATATAGCCTATATATTGTTGCGCAGCATTTGGCATAGGCCTACAGTTCAAATTAAAATGTTATGCAATTTTAAACGGTTAATCGGTTAAACATGGACACCCCTATGTGCATCTTGCTTCAGATCATAACGTTCCATAACACCGATAAACTCCGCCTTTTACCTTGAGCACGCCTCTAGCCCGAGCTGGCCCCCTCTGGCCCAAGGTATTCGACGGGCCAGAAATCCTGGCCGTTGGCCCTGAGGAAGCCCCGATCAAGCCCCGGAAGTGACAGTGGAAACGCGACTGGCCCTGGCACGCACTAGCACGGCCCGGCCCTGGCCCGGCAGTGGAAACGCGGCTATTGTTTAAATGCCACAGCCTACCTGAGTATTGTTGCTGACCATATCCATCTCTTTATGACCACAGTGTACCATCTTCTGATGGCTACTTACAGCAGGATAATGCACCATAGTCTGGGTTTCTCCATACTGCCTTACCGCAGCGCGATTCAATTCATGCTGAAAGGCAGTCTGGATACCATGGCCAGATTTTTCGCCTCATTTAGGGAACCAATCACAGAACAGGGATGGATAAGCAAGACGATGATGACATCCATCCCTCACACCGACTCAGTTTGTTTATTTCAATGGATTCAACATGGTAGCAGACGCGAAGCTACCTTTTGATGCAGCATTAAGATATTGTTTTAAGTAGTTTAGAATGCAAGTTTATTTTGAAAAAAGAGCCGTTTTTGGCGTTAAACTTCTCGAGACCCAGTAGTTATTGTTGTCTCGCCATTAATCGCCCTAATGGAGGACCAGGTACAGGAGGCGGTCAACCTTTGGAATATCAACCTTGGAATATCTGTGTCCTGAGAAAGAAAATGCGATAAAGAATTGTCGATACCAACTTCTGTTCGGCAGTCCCGAGGCCTGGATGAGCGCAAAGTGGCAAGACATGTTAGCCACGGAGTTGTATAGTACCAACCTGCTAGGCACCGTCGTCGACGAAGTCCTTTAACTTATAAATGGTAAGTGATATTTATTAATATCATACTGTGGTTGTCACAGTGCCACTAAGTTGTGTTGCTTTTCAATATCAATATACAGCTACCGCTTTAGTAGCATAACTTTCAGCTGTGCACACGTACCCGATTAAAGTTGTTGACGTTAGTCATTAAATTATTATTTTTTTTTTTTAACTTGTGAAGTACAAGCGCAAACAATTTCCAATGCAAATAACAACTTCAACTTCTATGTTAAACTGTACTTAATAATACTTGTGTTTTTCTAATTGAAACGATTGGCTATGAGCTACGTACAGGCGCATTTGATAGACATTCTTAGCACCCAATAAACGGCGTTTCAAAATCTCAAAAAAAAAAATTGTTTAAGGAATTAACTTAATTATATGAATGTATGTATGTACTGTATGCATATATAAATAAATAAAAAACTAGTAAACCGTTTCAAATATACCCCTATCTAGATCTGTTTGAGTCATGAAGTCCACTTTAGCATTTAAGGGACATTAGAGGCATTATGGAAACAAAGCATTCCAGTAACACAAAAGAAGGAAATCTGGATTTATTCCATTGCTTTTGGACACAATCATGGCTTGTTCACAGAGACATTTAAGAAGCTTCAAATCAAATAAATACGCAGTCATGCCCATTCAACATGCATCAAAATGTTTGTTCTACATTATTAACAAACTGATGTAATTTACAGCTTGTTACAAAAAAAAGTTCAAGTCAATCAAGTTTGTCAATTTTGGACACAGAAACTTACCATGACTATAAAAAGCTGCATTACTTTGAGTGCGGTAAGGTGACTTTTTAAAACGTTCTTTATGTGTCTGCCCTGCAGGGAGATGTGTTGTTAAAGGTCACATGACATGAAATTTTCACTTTCTGAGGTTTTTTTTTTAACATTAACATTCTGCCTTTGAGAAAATGAAAGCTCAGACGAGCTGATCTTGAATCTCCTCTGTATGGTGTCATACAGAGGAAAGGTAACCTCCATTTCTCAGCTTTTCCCACCCAGAGAATTTGGCTCACACAAGAGAAGATGAGCTATGAAGTACGAATGCGTGAGCGCGATTTGAGTTTTTCCTCGAGACATGCAACAGATATCATGGCTTGTAAACGAGCGAAGCATGGCAGTTGATCAGTGTTTGGATGTAAAAATGAACACAAAAGTATTTTTTAGTTCCTTCATCGGAGCCTCTGAAGAAACAATGGGTTAATTTTATTTTCTTTGGAAATGCACCGAGTCACCGACACAACCCAAAGTTTAGTATGGTCCAAACATTTCACCGACTGTTTCCTCAACTTGGGCCAATACAGAGCTGGCCTCGATGAACGTCTGAAAATAAATCGATCGAGTTACCAAGCAGCAACAATTTCTGATGTGTGGCCTAATTGTTCAAGTTCAAGACAGGTAATCTTTCTCTTAAAATCATTCAATACTGTTGCATCAGTAAGTCAAGCCAGCGACTACAATATCAACGTCACATTGTTTCTTTTAGTAGGATAAAAGTAAATTAATCACATTTAAATTGTGAACGATGATGTACATCATCGTGTCTGCATTGGTGAAAGCATTAGAGAGAGTGCAAAAACTGTGTTTCAATGATAAGATCTTCATTCTCCCAATCAACAGACTGTCATCTGCTTGCTCAATGCTCATCACGGCAACATTTTATGTGATGGGAATACTGTAGATCAGGGTTCCTCAATAGGCGGCCCGCGAAAGGAAAATGTTTGGCCCGCGCTCATTTCCAGGTTTTCATGGTAACCATCAGTGTAAGCAAAAATTCAAACGCAGTATCTAGGCATTCGCGCGCAACGGAAATATGGCAAGTGCAAAGAAAAGAAAAGTGGACACAGAAAACAGATGATTCAAATCTGAATGGACTGAACAATTTTGTTTTATTTTGCCTGACCACCACAACGCAAAGCCAACGTGTTTGCTATGCACGCAGACCTTGGCTGTCTGTAAGTCTGACAATATCAAACGCCATTTTAACATCTGCTCAAAATTTCTTGAATAAAACAGACTCGTTTGAAAAAGAAAATAATAAATAAAAATAAATAAAAATAGAATAATTGGGCTATGTGGTGATTTGTGACTCTTTTTAACAAAACAACAACAACAAAAATAGCAGAGCAAACATTGAGGTCATAACATTGTGGTTGGTGGCCCTTGGCTCTGTATTGTCAGCAGAATTTGGCCCTTGGTAAAAATTAATTGAGGAACCTGCTGTAGATCTAAATACTTCTCACGATTCGGTAATCGCAAAAGCTGTAATAGTAAAAACGCATAATAGCTGTAGTAATAGTATTCGTGAGAGTTGCACATGTAATACGTAGCTATTTCATATGCAAGCATGTCAGCCAATCACAGTAGTGTCCGGTTACACTGAATCCCACAGCAGACACACCCCTTCAAACAGAGCGTTCAAATCAGAGGCTAAAATCAGGCTAGAAAAAAAAGCCTTTTTTTTCTAAATTATGACTACTTTTGATCTAAAAAAACATACTTACAAGGGCAACCCAGGAAACATTATAAAATAATAAAATACCCTTCTGTTCTGTTCTGTGTTTTAATGCGTTTATTACAAAATGGGAATGTTGGGAATGGGGATCCCTGACCTCGATCACAGACTTGTACTGTGACCAGGAGGCAATGTATTTCTGGCTATTGTATTGTTCTCAATGTTTCAAAAATTAACAAGTAAAAAATTAAATAAAAATAAAATAACCCCATTTCATGGGACCATTAACGCCAAATAGTAAAAGAACTGTATAATCATGTTTGCGCTACTTGACTGCAGAACAAATTTGAAATTAATCCTCCCCATTCATTAAAAGACAATCCTGGCCATCTTTTCTTTCATGACATTTAAAAACAGACAAGCTTCTTTACATATAAATGGGCATCGTCTCCTGCACTGATGTGTTTGTTGAGAAGCTATAAGAGGGTAACTGGGCACAGATCAAAGAAGTTGACATTCACTGCTGATCTGGCATTTTGTCTCATGTCTCACTGGGTGGGTGGTATCCTGCACTACAGCTCCTTGCGGTAAATGAATCTCCAGCGTATCCCAGTAAACAAGAGTAAATTTCCATACCAGGCCACTGCTCATCACCAGCTCCTATTGTATTATGATAAACGGAACCCTAATAATTGTTCCTGGCATGAGGGCAGCACCAGACACTATTGTTCTGTTAGTGTTAAGGAATGCAGAGGTCAGATTGCTGACAGGTTTTGGCCCGGTGTGTCATTTATGAGGCGGCCATGCGGCGTTCAGTACTTCCTGGCTGTCTAGGGTGGGTTGTTTCCTTGGCACTTTGAGTGAGACGGACGGGAACGTAGTGTTGCCACAAAAACACACGCAAACAAATTTCTCCCTCATTCACCTCTCAGAAAGAAAAAAGCTAAGCCAAAGTTTGCTCATAAGGATAGTTATTGTAGTCAAAAATCATCATTTAGTCTCTAGTGTCATTCCAAAACCATAGGATTTTTCATAATCTTCAAAAAACAATTGAAGAATTTTTTTTTTTTGCTTAATATGAGAGATTTCGGTCCCTTCATTTACCGTGTCTTTGTATCCACAGTATTTTCAATTTTGATATTTTTTAGGTCAAACCGTTGTTTGGTCCGATCAGTCATATAATGGAGGTAAATGGGGTTCATCTCAAAGAGCATGCACAGAGAAGTCCAAATTAAACATGATTTAATGACTCGTAAATGTAAGTACAAGTAGTATTGATGGCCTAAGACAAGAAACGAGCGGTTTGTGTGAGAAAACGAACAGTATTTATATCGTTTTTACCTCTTGTAACCACAGCCATGTCCAACTGATCTGAAGGCACGGGCGCCTTCAAGTGATCGCTTGCGCGTGTACGTCATTGATTGTTTACACAGAGATTTCAGAAGTTTTACCTTTCACTAAACATATTTAGATATACAGGAAATCGCAATTGAAAACAATTTCGATATATCTAAATATGTTTAGATCTTCTCATCACAGTGAAAGGTAAAATTTCCGAAATCTCTGTGTAAACAATGAGTGACATAGACGTAGACTCGTTTCATGTCTTAGGCCATCAATGTGTACTTACATTAACGAGTCATTAAATCATGTTTAATTTGGACTTCTCTGTGCATGGTCTTTGGGGTGGGCTCCATAGACCTCCATTATATGACTGATAGACAACAACGGTTTGACAGAAAAATATTAAAATCGAAAATACTGTGGAAACAAAGACACCTACATCTTGGATGCCCTTGAGGTAAGCTAAAACATATCAAAACTTAATTTCAAAGTGAACTATCCCTTTAATTTTTTGGGTGATCTATCATTTTAACTTGTTCTACGTGTAATGTAGACTTGCAAAATGATCTAAAATGTGATTGTACAACAATTACAGGAATATATACATATTAGGGGTATTCAAAAGCATGTTTACTTCTTTAATCCCATATCCGACGACACTGGACTCAACATGTTCATGGGCAATGGAGTCATGATTACTGTAATTGTCTGCAGTAACAAAGCATGATGGAGCAGATGGTATGATAAAGAAGTTATCCAATTTTAAAATTACCAGGATTTGGGACACAATTTTAGAAAAAAAAAAATTGTTTGAGTGTACAGGTACTCTATTTTACCAGAGCCATAAATTAATTTATAAACAAGCTAAAGCAGCAAATGACTATTATAAGTTAAACAGGATACACTATTCTATTAGAGGCAAAATATCCATAGGAAGAGAAAAACAATACATTAGAGACCGCCTGCTGTTGGTATGAAACTAAATGTTATGTGATGTTAAAGTGTGTTGCAGAAAAACAAAAAAAGGAGCAGCAACTCTTACCACATCACTGGCGCTAGAAAAGTCATTGTTGAGCAAACTCTCCAAAGCCATCCAGCGAACAGGTCGGTTCTCATTGTCCCCGAGGCAGTGATAGTCCATGGGGAAGAGATCACGGGCCAGCGCATTATCTGTGATCTTCACTTGCATGCTGTTATCAATTCTACAACAAAAAGAGAGACAAAAGACATCTATATAAAATACGCATTGCTGTTAATGCAAACCAATGGTAAAAAATGTAAATAAATGCTAGAACTTAAGCTGAAAGGGTGTCTTAAATATATATTCTCAAGTCGTGACATTACATGTCGAAACATTATTGCCAGCATTGAATGGGAGGGGATTTAATAGTTTGAATATCACCCTTAATTGATGATTTTATATCTTATAAAGATTTAGATTTTATAAAAACTACAGCCAGTCAGTCACATTATTGCAATAATAACTATTGACTGTACATTATCTTTTTTAACAGCCAATGCCAAAATGTAACACTTAGTGCAGCTGTATACTCCTTCACAGACGGCAGAAGGTGAACGATGGTAAATAGTGTGAGTACATTACACACTTACACACAGTTTCTGGCAGCCAGGTCTTTGTGAATGACCTCTCTCCGTGCCAGGTAGCTCATTCCACATGAAATCTGTATTGCCATGTGGACCAGGTCTTGCTGAGAGATGGCCTGTATGTGTAACAAGAGAAGAGTGGACAAAATGGTTACAGTGATCAGAAAAGACATTTTAAAGGTCACTGGAAGTGTGAGAATCCTTTAAAATTGCAATGAGATCCAGCCCTTTAAACTGAAAGACGCAAAAAGTGAGAACATATGACAAGTGGGTAAGCAGACTCTCGTGGTTAAGCTTCACATCTTAGGAAACCAGACTTGATGGAGCAACAAGTTCCTCAGTTGAATCTCAGTTGGTAGGAAGAGTCTGATGTAATGACATTTACCTCAACTAAACATAAACATCCTTTGCACCTAGAGCCAAAGCCAAACACTAATGCTTTAACTGTTTAGGGGGACTGGCTCAATGTCAGGCACCCTTCTATAAATCTATACAGATCCAGACACAACAAGAAACCCTGGGTGCTAACTGGCAGGGTCATAACGTAATCCTTTCTTAATGAGTGGCTTTTTTCCCCTGAGGAACTATACACAAGGCTTTAGAACAAAATAATTGCAGAGTATAGCAAACTCGGGTGTCAGATGAGCTTGATGGTGCATGCTCATTCCTGTTTGTTCAGTGTGAATTTCGTTAGTGTGTTTTAGACACAATGTTTACTCAAGAGAGAATGTTGTACGTGTAGAACATAGGGATGGGTCAATGAGAGTGACTAGTAAATCTAAACTTTTTATTCTTTGTACCTGGAGAGTCTTAAAGGGGATCAATTTAGACGCATAACTTCTCTGAAAGGGCGTGCTTTAGCATGCCAACAGTCTATCAGCAACTGAATGGCTGCCAACATGCTAAACCCATCTTTGAGAAGTCACGTCTCTAAATTCGTTCCCATTGCAACTCACCTGTTGTAAGCAATGTTTTAATTGGTCATGCACAGGTATTAAAATATAGGTTAACAATAATAAACTTTAACTTGAAACCGATGTAAACAGAAATATTGTGAAATATTATTACAATTTAAAACTTTTTTTTGTTCTTTATTATTTGAATTATTTCATGTTATTTAATCCTGTGATGGCTCAGCTGAATTTTCCTGTTGAAAACAGTGCTTAATATTTTTGTGGAAATTGTGATGCATTTTTTAAAGGATTTAGAAAGAAAAGAACAGCATTTATTTGAAATATATATATTTTTTATAACAAATGAAAAGCTTTATTGTCGCTATTCATTTAATGCATACTTGCTGAAAAAAAAGTATTAATTTCTTTAAAAATAAAATACTGATCTCAAATTTTTGAACAGTTACGAGACAATGCCTCCATAGTTTCTGTTAAACAGAATATTTAGACATTTTAAATATGTAAGCATTAAAGGTTCTCTAAGCGATGTGGGGCCAAAACATTTTTTGTCACATACATCAAACGTCTTCTCACTATCAGCTAGCTGCCTGTCCCCTAAACACACTGTAAAAAAACGCGGTCTCTGTAGACACCACATGCTCCACAAACGGCAACAAAAACAATCATGTCTCACCCGGACCACGAAACCTAACAAACAGTGTTCCAGCCAATCACTGGCAAGAAGTATTTGAGGGTGGGTCTGGGGGGTTAGTGCGTGTGCACATGAAGGGTGTGTGTGTGTGTGTGTGAAGGAGAGAGAAGCATAAGAGGGAAGTTTGAAAAATGGCCGAAACACGACCAAAGAGACGTCGTTCTGAGGAACAAATTAAAAAGAAGAAGGAGTCGGATAAAGAACGTGCGAAGTTCCGAATTTACATCGGTAGCAAAGCTTTTGAACGATGGCGAGAACTCCGGCGGCAGAAGGGCTTCCAGTCCGACATTCAGGTTGCTCTGTTTTTGCTGGACAGGTGGGTAACGTTAAATTGTTTTTTTTTTCTTCTAAATTGACGCTTATGTTCGCCAAACCCACACAAGGATATAATTAGCTAGAAATGCACGTTCACAATTATTTCAGGAAGGACGGAAGGGAGGGGGAGGAGATGAGGAGGAGGGAGGGTCTAGCTAGCCTCCGATTTGTTTGAAAATATTTGGAACGTCAACACCCAGGATCGCTCAGAGAACCTTTAATATTTAAAGGGGTGGTAGATTGCGATTTCACTATTTTCATTTTAAATAGTGTGTAATGTTGCTGTTGGTGCATGAACAGTATCTGCAAATTTGCTGCGCTGAAAGTTCAACATAAGCAGAGATTTCATCTTTTAAAAATCAGGAAGTTCAATGCCTTCAAAAACGACTTGAATGCGACTACAACGAGATACTTCCTGGGTTTTATACGCAACTAACCCATAAATTTACATCAACCCTCCCTCTGGATTATGCAAAAAATGGGGTATGGCCATATTTCAACGGCTTTGTCAAAGAGGAAGGGTTATGGTGGCGAGCTGTAGCCATGCCTTGTTATTTTCACCCAGCTGTCAGGTCTTCAGTGTTCGGGCTTCCCACGGACGCTGTAGTTAGTCAACAAAAGCTCAAATTTATATTTGATTATGTTCCTGAATATTACAATTGTATTTTAGCTCTCTGTGCTGCGCATTTACAGAAAACAGCTTCCAGAATCTCCATGAACTCAAAGCCGAATCAGTCTGCTTAATCGTTTTCAATGTATTTGCATGTATAATTTCAGACGTAATGTTTTAGTTTTATCAAAGACATAAACAAATGCAAGCGCTGGCTTTAGTAGCCACTTAGTTATGCTATTTCGTGTCTATGACATTCGCGTACAAACATTTTGGACCTGAATTTGTATTTATGTACTAATTTTGTAAATGTATTTTCCATGTACACTTTATGACGTAATTTAATTTTTCGATTTGATCAAGAACGTAAACCAATGCCAACGCTGTTTGTTTATAGTAAGTTGGAGGGTATTTTGTGTGCATAAGACAAACATGTACTGTATAAAGTTCAAAACATTATATTTAATCAAAACAGCAAACTTCAGCTGCTGTTATCAGTGAACGGTTGTTTATTATATCGATAAAACAATAACTTTGAAAAACGGTCAGTTACGGTCATTTATTCAGTTACATTAAATGTTTAATTAGGAGAGAACCGTTTTAAAAAGCTAACAATCAAAAGTGGCATTTGAGTAACAGCATATTGAAATTCTTATATAATAATAGTACAATAGAATATGATAATAATAATAATAAAATGTACCATTCAGAAAAGTTTTGTAAGAGCCGTGTCTGGGGAGAATCTGCTTGACTCTCTTCATCGCCGCTTTCTGGGTCTGATTCTCAATCTGGCTCAAACTGATACGGCAGTATTGACACCATTATTTACATTTGACAGGAGCACATGCAACTTTCGCCCAAAAAGGTAATGGGGTGTGAAGTTTCCGGACAACGTGCACTACGCAGTTTAGCTAATTACAACACACCACCCCAAAATAACCAATCTGAGCCCATTGCCTGTTTCTGGGGGAGTGGTTTCATCAGGATGTAAACCGCTCGTTCAAATGAAAAAAATAAATAAATAAAAAAACACCACAAAGACATGTTATATTGCACCCTATAAACACAATCATGCAAAGAAAAAAAAGCAGGAAACCACCCCTTTAAATGTTGCTCTCTGTTGGTCAGACAAGCAACTTCAGTCACTATGACGTGCTTCTTTTTAAAAACAAGATACTTGCATACTGTTCCATTCAGTCTGGCTCAATCCAGGTGTTTGATTCAGCAAGCATCTGGTTGACAGTTAAAGTTAAAGACCCTAAACCAGCCTAATGACAGTGCTTCTTCAACCCCAGACATTTTAAAAGTATGTAGTTTTGCACACCCCTTGCAAGGCTGCAAACAGACATGCATCTAAAATACAGTTCAAGTGAGAGGTGAAAATCTTGGCAGTAAATTAAAAAAAGCAACCTTCCACTTTCAATGTCAAAATGCATGGTATTATCTAAAGCTTATATACGATTTTCAAAAAAAAAAAAAAGAAACACGCAATTGCACATAACAAACACCAAGATTGGTCCTGCAGTAGAAACACTGATAGCTTGAAGTACCCATTCAACCATTTTCACTTCAGGGATGCAAACACATGTATGGTCAAAAAAGAGAGAGGTTAAAGCAACACAGTGTACCTCTTAGTTTATTCTTAGCTAAAAACACTTAGTTCTTTCAAAAATATATGTTCTCATTAATGCATATTTACTTCGTTCAAGTAATAAAGTATTCTCGTGAGTGTATAATGTGCCATTGAAAATACATACGGGTAAGGGATTCTAATGTCGGTCGCCATGTTGCCCCTCCATCTTGAAAGTACATTAGCCAAAGAGGGACATACCCGTTAATTCAAGCTTCGCCTTTCGCGTTTACGTTTGAGTTAACACTCATGGGTGAGGTCGAACTGGAAGCCATGTTAATCTTGGACTACATTGGCCACCGTAGGAGTTAAAACGAAATCGGAATTGAGAGGAACAGAAACTAATATTCACTGGATGGTCATATACCTTTTCACCACTACATGGGGGTAAAAATCACACAGTGTAGCTTTAAAGCCCTCGCCCCGCGGAAAATATCCAGATACTTATATTGCCACCAATCCCTGCCATCTCCGGCCCACCCCTAGGGCACATATACAGTATGTTTCGTCCTTTAAATCAATTTTCACAAAAAAAAAAAAATATATATATATATATATATACAAAGACAAACCTCACATTTTTCAGCCTTTAAATCTTTTTTCACAAAAAAGTTGTTATAAAAAGATAAACCTCCCATATTTCAGCCTTTAAATCCTTTTTTTATGAAAAGAATGAGTCAAAAAAATACAATTACGTGACATTTCCATTAATGCACATTAGCTTATCCTTTATTATTAATAGTAAAATTCAGTCCGATTTTCCCGTGGTGTCTGTCGTTGCTAAGCATCCATGCACTGCACTCTCCACAAGGACAAAGAAGTTTTATTAGCTAATAGATTTTCACCACGAGAAAAGCTTTCTGTATCCCTGTTACAGATTCATTTTCGGAGAAGAGAAAAACACCGGTAGTGTTTGGGCGCACCCCGATCCTTCATGTTTACTTCAATAGTGGTTGGTTCTACGCTTGCGGAATTCTAAAAGAGTTTCGCTGTGCCAGGAAAAAAAAAAATTGCTTCAATTATGAGCGCGCTTGCCGCGCGCCTACATTTTAAATAGCGAACACGAGAGTGCAAAAGACACAATATGTTAACGGCCCTACGGCGTTTATTTAGCCTCAAAACTCGCTCAGATGACACAAGGGCAAAAAACACGGTATACACGCGCAGAATGCCATCCATGTTTCTGCACAGTGAGCGCACACGATGCCATCCTTGCGTGGCCAGTTGACGAGCTACCTCCAATCAGGCCACGAGCTAGTGGAAGAAATAAAATAGAGGTTCATGCTGGCACGCAGTGTTCTGATTTGCTTATTTCCTATTTGCTTGTTTGGTGGAGGCAATCCAGAATTACTGTTGGTGAAATTATAATCTGACACCCCTACCCCTAACAACAAACTCTTTGGATCTGCACGATTCTCACAAGTCACCCAAACTGACGTGAAAAAAGCAGGTGGCTTTTTTCGCCGAAAAGCGCACTGTTTGCATCCCTGCATTTTATCTGGGATGTCGGACTGAAAGAATTTATTTAATCTCTTCTTTGAAGAGGATTCAGTGGCAGCCAAATAAAAGACCACCCAGGGTTAACATTACAAAGTCTCAATTGTGCACAGAACACTACTGTAAAGCACCTACCATAGAAGGTTCGCTCGATGTTGACAGAGGATCTGCACAATGAATTCATTGTTGTAAAGAAAGCAATTAAAATCAGGATAATCTAAACATTCCAGGTGTTCTGCCGGAGGGTCTCTAATGTAAACACCTGCCTCAGACTGATATATGGCTAACAGGAGGAGTCATTGCACAACTTGTTAGCTGAATTCACACAGGTCAAAAACTATTCTTTGCATAAATGTGGATTCAGTATAAATGTTGCATGTTATATAACCCAGCCTGCAAAATAAGCGTGCTTCTTTTCACAACTAATGTCAAAGCAGTGAAGCAGGGGATAGTCTAATCATTCAAACTTTGATTTGATATTTTATCTAATACAACAAAATTAATATATTCATTTAAAAGCATAAATGTGAAAATACATTCTGATATATTTAGATATTTCATATACACTACCAGTCAAAAGTCAATAAATAAATGCAGCCTTGGTCAGCAGAAGAGACTTCTTTTAAAAACATAAAAAGATCCAAAACTGTTTACTGGTAGTGTATATGTATGAATGAATACATTTGTGGGGTGTTTTTATTTATATTTTATTCCTGCCTCAAAGCACAACTGGCATAAAATCTCTCTATATTGTAGTAGTCTCACCTGTGGGTTGTTGGCCTCAGCAAGCTTACACTGGCGCAGGAAAAGCTTAAGATTTCCCCAGTTCATATAAGGCAACATGACCATGGGCTTCTCACCATCTTCTATACACACATGGCTGATGGGTAACAGGTTCCTAAATGTAAACAGACCAGTGAAAAATGGGTTAAAGTTTGTTGGTGTAAGTAAAGGGACAAATGGCAGGAGAAGGCCAAGTTTTCAAACACATTTCTGCAGGAAGACACAAAACAAGTACACAACCACACATTTAAATGTGGGGGATTCAATGAAAACATCAAGAGAAATTAATAACTGTTATTTGATTCCCGCTAGCAGTGATACACAAAGTAGACAAGAAGTGACATGCTACCCAAAGGATACTTCGGTCTGCATAATACTATTTCAATCAGTGATTCGTTTCTGACAAAGAATAATTGAAGTCATGGGCTGCGCTGACCGTTTAACCCCAGACACGGGTCTGCGTGACTGCAAAGCTCGGAGCGCTCGGGACAGGATATAAGTCTGAGCCCATCCCAAAAGGCAACCAAGCGGGAAACAGAAAAATCTAAACAGAATGTTCGACCTCAGGGCTGTTGTACCGCCGCTATATGAATATCAGGAAAAAGATTCTGAATGAACATGAAGTGATATTTAATATGATGTGAAGTTATGCTGATACAGTAGATGAGCACCAGGTTTACAAAATCAGTATTCAGTTTTTAATGTCATTGTATTGCAAGAGAACATTTATTTAGTTTTTTTTCCAATATGATCTTTTTTTAAGTTTCAGTTTTAACCAATAAACAAGATAGGACTGAATTCCTATACTATTTTTTCTAAATAAATTAAAAATAAGAATAAACTTTAGCCAATCATTTTAAAATGTCACAAGTGAACTTAGCATTTATAGCTTATAATGTACAATAAAAATATAATTATCATTTTTAATATTTAGTTAAAGATTACACTTAACAACGAGATTTATGTTTGTTTTAAGATTCATTTTACACTTATACTTAAAGTTACTCTAAAAACATAATGTTTCACACTGATACAGATACAATTCTAATATCAGACAGTAGACAAACAATATGGCAGCAATATATACTCGTATATATTAAAGGGATACTTCAGGACTTAGCATTAAGCTTTGTATTAGTAGGAAACCTGAAGTATTTTCAAATTACTGCTTTCCAAACTCATCTCCCCCTGAGACGAGAAATTTATGTAATTTCTGTCTGTAAAAAAATCTTCAGATGACGCAAAAATAGTCATTTTGCGTCATCGGAGGATTTTTTGGCCAGAGACTAAAGAATAAGGGCCAGTCCCACATGTTTTCAACCCGCCCATAGAGGGTGGGATCTCACTCACAGCATGTACGCATAGTGTCAGCCATCTTTTTTTGGAAGCTAAGCTAGCAGGCTCTTGTTCTGTGGAGAAAGCTGATTAACTTAATTGGAGAAAGCTGAGTGGTAGGCGTTATCATCCTCTTTTTCCTGGACCTGTCCGGTCGTCAAGATTGTACATAATGTCCTGGATTCAGCTTTTGCTTTCTGCAGTCGCCATTCACTGTTTACATGCACACCGTTTGTTTCAATCTAACTGAATTCATTCCACTGGTGAATCTGAATGTAGTGTTTACATGAACGCTAAACAAGTGATTGGTATTAAAATTGCTAAAAACATTCCCGCTCCTCCGTGAGAGATACTAGACCGGTGCGTCTCACAGGTGTCGCTCATCGGTAATCACGCCACCGGCCTCACGCTGTTCTCCCGCGACCCTCAGTCTCGTCCTGCTCGCCAAAGTAAACATAATGAATGGTGACTGTAGAACGCAAAAGCCGAATCCTGGACATTTTGGGCGATCTCGAAACACATTTTCGGGCAGACTCATCACAGAGACTCACTAGCAGCCTAGACTTTTTGATTAACAACTGTGCTCTGTTACCGGTAGGCATGGTCTCCTAGGGCAGTGAAGCAAGTGCATTCTGGGAGTTGTTGTCTTTCATCCACATAAGACAAAAATACATTTTCTGGCTTTTCTCAGTCTAGAAAGCTCCAAATTCAAAAATAATTTCACATTTCTTCTACATAAATGACCCATTTTAAATACACATTCATCTTTCCAGAGGTGAAGAATCCCTTTAAACGTCTAGGCACTGGTCCTAAAACTGGATTAGTCAGATAGCTGGCACCAGCAAAAAGCTAGTCACTATATTTGTGAACCTCATGGCATTGAATCTCTGGAGGAAAAAAAAAAAAAAAAAACTTTTTTTTTTTTCTACAGCTAGTATTTGTCTTAATAGTTTCAGTTAACGATGATACCTTGCCCAACAAGGCAGAAAGTGATTTATAAGAAACGCATAACATCTGAAACCACACTTCATTTCTATGAAGCATGGTAAAATGCACTAATGAAGAAAGAATGCAGAGGAAGAGAGACAGTAATTTACCCAGCAGAGGAAGTGTGTAGATAAGTAGTCATAGAAGTGTCATAGCTGGGATGTGGTCATCACAACACTGTCACAACACCCCAACATTACACAACATGCTCCATTGTGAACAAGGTAATTTAAATTCACCCATCATGAAAGAATAGTAATTTATATTCACATACACAAGTGTATTATGTCATCATTCTCAAAACCTTGTGTTTGGCAACATTGAAAGAAATCAGCATATGAGATGTCTGTGGCTCACCTGTGATGAAGACCCCGTAGTTTACAGCTTTCTGTAAGCATCATGGTCACCTGTACCTCTGAGGCGTGATCTGCACAGTCAAATACAAGAACAGAGAGTGAATCAATTTGTGACGCAACCCTGTACAACCCAAACGTGAGGCAAACATGGCAAAAAAAGGTGTCAAAGCTTTCTCATCAAAATGTTAGGCAACCCACTGTTGGCTGAACGTGTGACAGGGTGGCTACAGGTATAAACAATTTAAATTTAAGACTTTTTAATACCACTTCTAAATTAAATTTAAGACCAAACTTACGATGGAAATATATAGTAATATTTCCAAGTAAACACACTGTCTGTTCAAAAATATGGTGAAATGACAAGAACCGATTGTCAAATGCATACGTGTGGTCGCCTGTGGAGTACAGTGGAGTGAAAAAAAATATAGAAGGCATTTTTATAAATGTCTTAAGCCTTGTATGTTTTAAATAATAAAGTATATATATGCGTGATGTTGTAATGTGAGCGCGGACGCTCAGTGAGAGTGAGAATGCTTGCGCAAAGAGGAAGATGACCGATCTATTGCGGGTTTGTTTTATTATAAAATGTGTTTACTTCCACTTTGATTTGTAGCATTTTACAGAGTGTTTTCTTTAACCTGTTAACATCCACTCTTTCGACATGTATATGAAGAGTGTGCTTAACTGAAAGAACGCAACTATAAAAGGACTCGTGGAACTACCAGTTTGTTTGCACTTTCTTTCCTATTCTTCATCTGGGCAGACTTTGAGGACTCTGACAGACGTTACAACACACAGACAGGGGTTGGATAAATACGTTTTGCTTTTTATGCTTTTGCTTTTTTGCTGTGTTTTAATGCGAGTATAGGCCTACACAAATATAAGTAAACACTTTGCAGACTGAATGTTGTCCTGTATGAACAAAATGACGGATATTTTTCATGACTCCACTGTTTGATCGCACCCACGTGTCTCTAACACACACACACACAGGATACGTTACCTTGTAGAAAATATTCGACCTGGCTGGCAGAACGATTGCCTTTGCCTGCATCTTTGCGGTGACATGACAAACATATTTAAGACCTATCCAATCTGAATTTAAGACAATTTAATACTTTTTAAGGCCTTATTTTTAGGAAAATTGATTTAAGACTTAAGACTTTTTAATGACCCACGGCCACCCTGTGTGATGCATATGGCACACTTAACTGAAAACATTGAGATTTTCAAAGTCGTCATCTGGTTGGTTTTCCGAGGGAAGAACGCTCGGAAAACCAACCAGATGATCGGATCAAACCAAAAAAAACAATACAAAAGCACCACGGAAGTGTCAGATTTTGGTCACACAAAGCTATTTTATGGCTTTGGCTGAGTTGGTATAGCATATGGACTACCTTTTTGAAGCATTTATGGTGCTTTGTCATAATTTTTAGAGCTTGGCATCCCCAGTACTCATTCAGATTCATAATGAATCTAATAAAATATGCTGCCAGAATATTCTTAAGATTGGCCTTTTGTGTTTTAAAGAAGAAAGTAAACAAAGAAGAAAGTGGGTGAAAGTCTAAAGTTGTCACCCAAGGGTTTGCTTGGTTTGTTTGGTCTGGACCAAAAAAACAACAAAAAAAAAAAAACAACAACAAAAAAAACATTTAGTGCTGGTTAAATACTAAAATTTTATCTTTTAATATTATTTCATTATTAAATATTATGTATCTGTATTATTATTCTTTATTAATTATCATAATCAGTTGTATTATCTTATGGAGTTTCAAAAGCATGAGTTTGAATGCATGAGAAGAGATAACATATGTCAGGGGAAAGCTATATATTGCTTAGAGGTATGTGTGCAATGTAACATGTTCACTCAGCATAAATGTTTCCATTGATGTGAGTATATCACAGATGTAAACAACAAGGATAGTCGCGTACGTATGACATATACGTTCTAATTTTAAGAAGCTCAGAGCAACATGTTTGTTACCTTACAAGGAAGCTGTAAGACTTTCTGTGGTGTATAAAGCTCAATGTGACTTTACTGCTCTCAGAGAAACATGTAGGCATGACCGGGTAAGAGGAAGAGAAACATTTAGACCTGGCATGAACACAACATTTTGAAGTTTCTTTCCTGACATATATATATATATATATAAAACTTTCTTGGCAAGATAACTGGTGTCCGGTCCCATAAATCAAATAATAACGGGGAAACACAAGAGGCTTTAATTTCAAGTCTACACTGGTCCACTTAGCATTCAGATTGGTATTTTAACCCTGAACCTAAAGAAATCGAACCTAAAGGCATAGGTATACATTCACAATGTGATTGGTCGGCTTTTATGGCGTAATGCTTATTTTGAGACGGAACTTACCAACATCCAAAAACAATGCTGTTTGCTGGGCTAAATGCACTAGTTGTATGTGCATAGCCTACATATGACGCCATTTTGACCAGCTGAGAACTTGTGAAGAGCTTATGTTTAAAATGTTTGGAGGAGTCAAAACAGCATCAGGAATCCAGGAAGATCTACTGCGATGTCTTTGGTCTGTGTTATATCAAATTTCATTCAAACCGCACCCAAGTTCGGACGGCAGCATTCACACTTATTCAGGGTTTGTTTTAATCGATCCAAACATGCCAAGTGAGAACACAAACAGATTTGGAATGAAATGAGTGTGAGCACATGACAAAATATTTGGGAGTTAAAAAAAAAAAAACATGAAATCAAAGAATTATTTTGCACTCTCAGGGAAGTCCTTGTTAGAAAAAGGTGCATGTAGGCCCTGAAAAACACTTCACCTTGCACTTAAGAAAGTCTGGTTACTCTAAAAGCAGTCGAACTCCTTTCAGCCAGTCTCACAGATTGCTGGCTGAGTGAGCACATTGAGAATGAGTTCACAGAGGTTCGGTTTTATCTTGGAGCACAGCTTTTGACGGATGCTTTGAGAGTATGGGGAAAGTATATTGTTTCCTGTCCCTTGGGCAAGGGCCGGGAGGGGAAACTGAACAGCTTGGCACAGCAAAGGCTGGTATAATGGCATTGTCTGGTAGTTGGCACCAGTCCTGTGCTGGGTAAACAGGGCACAAGGGCAAATGAAGGGGTGACCAGTGTGACAGAAAAGGCTAAAGTTTCTCATGGCATTTGCATTTTCCACAGAAACTGCTGTCATGACCAAAGTAAACATTTTTAAATACCTCAGTATCATTCCTGTATTATGAACTTTTATAAATAAAAGGGGTGCATTACCACAAACTATCCCTCATATGTTTTTTTTTTTGTTTTGTTTTTTTGGATCATGCTGGGAAAGTAATTTTAAAAGGTTCATTTTAGAATATTTGAATCAAGGCAAATATCAAATGAGAATTAAACAGAGGATGTACCTTTCACTGTCTTCACAAAGACTTGTTTCTCTTTGCTTGGGTCCTTCTCGTCAAGCAAGACTCCATGAAATATGCGGCCAAATGTCCCTGAGGATCAAAATGAAGTCACTTAATGAAATCAGCAAACAATGAAATCTCTGTATCTTTATTGAAATATACGAAGAGTTCAGATGCAAAAGCCTCTAAATGCCGTTTGAAATTTTCTTCTTTAATGATGCTTTTTATCAAACTTGTATATTTAAGTTCAGTAATTTCACTTAAATAACAAGTAATAGGTAATTATCATTGCCATTTAAGTGAAATCACTGAACTTAAATATACAAGCTTGATAAAAATTATCATTCTAGAAGAAAATTTCAAATGGCACTTAGAGGCTTTTGCATCTAAACTCTTCATACACACATTAAAATATGAGTGTCTTTATTGGACAAATTGATTAATCCAGGTGTGCCTGAGCTCAGTAGTCATGGCAACAATAATCAGACACACCTGAATTAATCAAGTTCGGCCAATAATGTCGGACAGGAAACAAGGAGCTGGCTTAAGTTCAGGAAGTAGTGCAGCTGTGCATAAGGTCAGTTATAAGAAACAAGCCCCAAACCTTTCAGGTTGTGGGTTCACCAGAAATGGTACAAAAGTTGTACCATTCCATACATTGTGTCTTTCTGATTATGATCTGAACTTATTAATTATAAAATGTGATACATTTATATACAAAAATCTTCATTGAGTAAACGAAACGTGTTCTGAGTGCCATAATAAAATAAACCAGAAAGATGGGGGTTTGAATCCAATATGGTGCAGTGTCCAAATTGTTACTTGTATGTACATTCAAGAGTTTGACTCTCTATTGAAACAGTTACTTTGTCATTTAAATAACAAATCCTGCCTAAAAATGTTCATTCTCACCTGGAATCTCTCTTCCAAATCAAAACAAGAGTGATATCTCTGAGACACATCGTGTTTCGCAACAGAATTTCCACACACACAAAAAAATAAGAATAATAATTTTTAGCTGCCCTTGGAAGGGCTTGACAGCTATATTTATATATATATATATATATATATATATATATATATATATATGTATTAATTCATTCACAACTATGAACAGTGTTAGGATTAAAGGATTGCAGTGTCAATCAGAAATGTTAGTCTCCATACAATATTTTCCAAATATTGAAATGTTTTATAAAATATCAGTTCTAGTTTAACTGCATCTTTGAGATTAAACAACATGCCAATTTTTGCACAGTGAAAAGCTGAGCAGGTCTGAACAGGTATCCTTGATGACCTCAATGAATAAAAACAACATGGATTTACTAGCAGGCGCAGAACAGTCTCTCAGATTCCCACTACTGTTCTACCTCTTAGACATTATACGCAGTTCCCAGAAGCTCAGGTGACACTTGGGAATGTACCGGAGAGCAGTGAGCCTCAGAGTAGGCTGACTTTGGGTAATGTTACTAATGCAAGGGGCACTAGCACCGCATCACCCTACTACTTTTCTCTCTTATCTGATCCTTTTTCCTCTATCTTGCCGCCATGCTTGTTATAACATGCAACCTTATCTTATGCCAGCTTGCTGACGTAGAAGCTTTAACCCCTGCATGTGATTTCCTTTAAATTGTCCTTTATTTACATAGGACCACAAATGAATGCATTATAGAAGAGTTTAGGAAAATGGTTCCTACATTTTGGGCCATAAAGGTAAGTGAGGTGCTATGTTGTGCCTTTCTTTTAATCCATGACCTTCAAAACAAGAAGTCTCATACTTAAAATAAGTTGTCAAATATGAATGATTCTTCTGTATATTTTTTTCTTTTGAAAATGCATATTAAATAATATTGTGTATATATATACACTATATCAAATATGTATATATGTATATCAAACTCAGTCGCCTGAAGTGCAATCGGACTACATGTCAAAGTGCTGCCCACAAGGCTTTTGGCTCAGACATATTTTGATTAGCTTAACTTAACTCCTTAACTCTCTATGTCCTGCTAGCATGATGCTTGTTGCTCACATTTTATTGCCTTTTTTTCTATCAGATATTTTAGTAATCATCATAAATTAGGTATCATTCAAAAGTTTATACACTAAAAAAATGATCCTGTGAAAGCGGTTTTGAAATTGGACATTGTGGCATTAGGACCCCCAAGTGGGAAGTGTCATGTTTTATATTTTGAAATCTATGTAAACTATTTTATAATCAATACCTTTGCCAGTCTTCATTTTTTTTAAATAAAATACATATCGTCTGACAAAAATCTCATATGAACTTAAATGTTTTGTGATATCAATTTTAAGTTTGGAACACAACTTGGTTAGACATATAGCTTTGATTTAATAGCAATTCTAAAATAAACATTATTTTTGTAATATATATATATATATATATATATATATATATATATTTATATTGTATAAAATAAAAATGTTTAGTACAGCACATTTGCTTTACAGTAATCTTAAACTTCTATAACTTTTTTACACTTTAATTTTTAAGTGCAATGATCTGCTGAGTGTCTTCTTTAAAAAGTAACCAACCGTAGGTCTGTATTCCAAAGCATTCCTGAACTACAAACATTTAAGTTTGGATTGCCATTTTTTTGCCGTTTCATTTTTTGATCACTTCCTTTTGTGTAATCTGACAGGCTAGACGACTTTGCGGTTTTTCAAACTTGTAAAAACATTTCACTTGTAAGGTATGAATTAAGATGTGTTATACTTTGGCATCAAGGTAACAGGTGAGGTAATTAAAACATTTCTTTAGTGAATTCATAGAGAATGTACAGATAAATAACAAAAGTACAAAACTATGTGTTCCGTGGATAGTGTGTTTCTTTGTTGCAATGCAGAACTTACAAAAATTGCATCTAACCTTCCAAAAAAAAAAAAAAAAAAAAATGTACACATTGCATTATACATTATGCAACCAGCTGGGTTTCCGTTACAGCTCTTTAAGTAGGAGGGAGAAGAACTGAGCATGGTCATTATGCAGGACAGGGGAGATTTCTTGGTAGGAAGATGCATTTAATGCTTGCTCCAAGAAAATAAGCACTGAATGTCCAAAGACATAAAGTTTTAGAGACATTTTTTGTGGTAAATTTTAAACACATGTGAATGTTTTCTATCAATCAGTAAATCCAACTCACAGTAGAGTCAATCATCACAACAAGAGATTGTGTACTTGCAGCTCTATGGAAATTAATTTATTATCTCTAGTGATTACGATCCCATTTTAGTAAAATGCACATTACTGCACAATAAATATGTTTAAAAGCGTGTGCATTTTGCTGTAAACACAACCCCCAAAATAAAAATAATGCTGTTATTAGGTGTTCATAATCTATTGTATATTGCGACAAATACAATAACATGCAATTCAAAATTGACTTTCTTTACTGCTTTTAAAAGTATAATTAATCCAGTGAAAAAGTCGTCTTTACTCTATCGACTTATAAACAACACCTAAACCCTAGGTCAAAACTAATGTATATATTTTATGAAGTTAATTGTCTCTTGTCCTTTATTTGTTCTCCATTTGAAAATATCAAACTTTGTTAATTTGCCTATTGTTCATATTATTGTTGCTGCTTCTGTTGTATAAAAAACATGCTGTGATTTTATTTTTGTGATATGATGAAGATGACAACAGTTATCACTTTAATGTCTCAGATAAAGCCATCACGTACGGCTTCACAAGACGCCTGAATCACTTTTATGGTGCTTATTTTAAACTTTTAGAGCTTGAAAGCCCTTATTCCTCATCCACCTTCATGTGGAAAATGACAGGATTATTCTTCAAAAATTCACATTTTGTGTGCCTCAGAAAAAAAAGGGATTTCAATTTGGGACAACAGGAGGGTAAATGGTGACAAATTTTCATTTTGAGGTAGGAGAACTACATTGGTATAACTACATAAAGCCATTGCAGAAAATATTTAATGAGTAAAAGAACTTTGAAATTTGTGCTTAGGCCGTTCAAATAAAAGTATCGGACTGGTCATTAAAAACACAAAAGCAAATGGCCCTTCAGAAAGGATTAATTTCACATTTCTCTCAAACGTCCCATAAAATGGGTTTAATCAGATTAACTCAGTTCCTTTGCCAAGCCAGCACTTTAAACACAACACAATAACCCCCTATAAATAATGAATCAGCTTCATCAAGCTCGTGGCCACACATACGTGATTTACTGATGGAAGAAAAAAGCAATAGAGGGGAAATACTGCATTGAGATTTTGCAATAACACAAGTTAAATAAGGCAGGTTCTTAAATTAACACACAGTTTTGTGTATATTTTATAGCTTATGTGACTAATGACACTTGTGATTCTTCTGTGCAGGCCCGAGCTGCGCTGGCATAAGGCCCAGCAGAGAGATTTTCTGTTTGGGCTCCAATTTAGTGCTTGAGTGCAGATTTCCCACTGGAACAGAGCTCTTGTGTGATCCAACAAAATTATTTTGCAGGGGGAAGTGTGTCTAACCTCAGACTGAGTGGCCTAATGACGTTTGTTTGCCATGATGCAATTTCATTTGAACAAGGTGTTTAACATTTCGATGGCACAGAAAAGGAAAGATTTCTAAGAATTGAGTCTTTCCAAAGCACACTATTAACTTGCTGTGGTTTCCATGTGCGTGTTTGGGGCAGAATGACCGGTGGGATTATTACCTTCATGTAAGACGTCTCGAAGTGTGACTCTCTCTCTAGAGATGGCGATGTCTTTGACCTTTGCCTTGGCCTCAAGTAGAGTTACACTTCTCAAGTCATTCTTCTCTATTCGCAGCGAGGGATAACCTGAAATTACACACACACATCATTACAATAAGTGCTAACAATTCACAGCAGAACTAATTAAAAGCCTGTCTAATGACAGACAAATCAAAACAGAGGCTTGCAGTATTATTTGAACAACTGGAAGTATTTAGACACTTCATCAAAGGAGTAAAACCGCAGCTTTGCCAAAGGCAAACACTGCAGTGTCACTCTTGCACAACATGTTTTGGTGTGTAACTGATTTTATCTCACAGTTATACAGAGTCAATTGTATTAAATGTTTGGAGAAAAGAAAATGTTTAGAGTGTTTTGCTCTGTCATTTAGTGGCGGCGTACTTTAAAATACACAAGCAGCTCCAACAGACAAAGTCGAAATGTATTGTGAGCACTAATACCAGTATATAAGACAATTTCCTTGTTTATAATCAATATTTAACTTCGCCTTGTTGTAAACATTATTACAATGATTATATAAATAGAGGTGAGATAACAAAAAGCAAACACATTCACTTTTCACGAATACAACTAGCCAGTGTTCCCCGAGTCATTTAGACTAAGGGCGTGTCTCAATCAGCTCCCTAGCTCCTGAGCTTGTGAATCAGTATGTCGTGTTCAAGAATTCGGGCACTGGTAAGGACAGAAAAGGACTCTGGCTCACAACACATTGAGACACTAATGATTATTTCCGGCGACGTGACAACATCCTCATTGTACAATATCACTGCTGGTATTTATGAACAGCAGAGCTGATATCTTTCTGACTTTACTTGTTATGTTATTTAGAGTAGATTATGATAAATGCGTTGCTTGTTATACCGTAAATAAAATATAAATATTAGCTAGATTATGTTTATTACCTGTCTGCTGAAATGTAATTAAATAATGGTTGTATTTAAAAAAAATATCTATCGCTTGTCATTATGTGTATTGAGTTGGCTCATATGAAGTTTCGTGTTTCAGAACTTGCATTAAGGGAAAATATTGAGCATCGATCACTGATTTGGGATCCCTGAAAATGGGATTTTTTTTTAGGAAACATTTTAGTGCCGTGGAAGGTTTCAGCAATTGACAGCCCTTAAAATGGCTGAGTCCCTGATCAGTGCCCTGACTACTGACCTAGGGATCTGATTGAGAGGGACCCTACATTTCTCAAAATCTGCATGATGCTGCCCCCAAGTGGTTATTGGGAGTAACTGATGCAAGACTGCTAACATTCCCTGTACTACACAGACACTAATCTGCAAAGTAATAATACAAATATATCACGCAAATATTAAGGAGCTGTTTTTATAATTGAAAACAATAAGAAAAGTTTCTTGAGCACCAAATCAGCATATTAGAATGATTTCTGAAGGACCATGTGAAAGAAAAAAATGCATTGCCGTCACAGGAATAAATTATATTTGAAAATATATAAATGTAACAATATTTCACAACATTGCATTTGTTTGATTAAAAAAAACAACAACAGTAAAAATGGCAGTCTTGGTGAGCATAAGAAACCCCATTAAAGAGATCTTGCCGACCCTTAACTTTTGAATGGTAGGTTAATGTCAAAAAGTGAAAACGATCAAAACATTATTATGTTTGATCATCACAAAGAATCTGACACACCACCATCAACCCAACAAAGGAAATGATTGTGGGATGGGACTCTACTTTTGGCTGAAGAATGACAGTCAATGGGAATGACAAATGACAACCCTCTTAAAAGAATAATTATTTTCAATGACTGTTTCGACTGTTTCGTATGGCAGCTTGTTTCCGCCATAAAATGAAAAATAAAAAGGTAATTGCGAGATATAAAGTCAGAATTGGGTGATATAAAGTCGCAATTGCGAGATATAAAGTGGCAATTGCGAGATATAAAGTCAGAATTGCGTGATATAAATTCGCAATTGCGTGTTATAAAGTCAGAATTGCAAGATATAAAGTCAGAATTGATAGATATAAAGTCACAATTGCGTGTTATAATGTCAGAAATGTATGATATAAAGTCAGAATTGTGAAATATAAAGTCACAATTGCGAGATATAAAGTCAGAATTGATAGATATAAAGTCACAATTGCGTGTTATAATAAAGTCAGAAATGTATGATATAAAGTCGCAATTGCGAGATATAAAGTGGCAATTGCGTGATATAAATTCGCAATTGCGTGTTATAAAGTCAGAATTGCGAGATATAAAGTCACAATTGCGTGTTATATAAAGTCAGAATTGCGAGATATAAAGTCGCAATTGAGAGATATAAAGTCAGAATTGGTGTTATATAAAGTCGCAAATGCGAGATATAAAGTGGCAATTGCGTGATATAAAGTCAGAATTGGGTGATATAAAGTCGCAATTGCGAGATATAAAGTGGCAATTGCGTGATATAAATTCGCAATTGCATGTTATAAAGTCAGAATTGCGAGATATAAAGTCAGAATTGATAGATATAAAGTCACAATTGCGTGTTATAATAAAGTCAGAAATGTATGATATAAAGTCGCAATTGAGAGATATAAAGTCAGAATTGGGTGATATAAAGTCGCAATTGCGAGATATAAAGTGGCAATTGCGTGATATAAAGTCAGAATTGGGTGATATAAAGTCGCAATTGCGAGATATAAAGTGGCAATTGCGTGATATAAATTCGCAATTGCGTGTTATAAAGTCAGAATTGCGAGATATAAAGTCAGAATTGATAGATATAAAGTCACAATTGCGTGTTATGAAGTCAGAAATGCATGATATAAAGTCAGAATTGTGAGATTTAAACTATTCTGAGGGGGAAAAAAGTTAGTCTTATTTCCCCCTTAGAATTGGCTTGATAAGTCGCAATTGCGAGTATATATCTCACAAATCTGAGAAAAGATGTCAGAATTTCGACATATAAACTCGCAAATATGTGTTATAAAGTCAGAATTGCGAGAGGTAAACTCGCAATTGTGAGAAAAAAAAGTCAGAATTGTGAGATAAAAAGTCGCACTTCTGTCTTTTTTTCTCAGAATTGCGACTTTATATCATGCAATTCTGACTTTATATCACCCAATTCTGACTTTATATCTCACAATTCTGACTTTATATCACACAATTCTGACTTTATATCACGCAATTCGGACTTTATATCTCACAAATCTGACTTTATATCAGGCAATTCTGACTTTATATCTCGCAATTATGACTATATCAGGCAATTCTGACTTTATATCACACAATTTTGACTTTATATCACGCAATTCGGACTTTATATCTCACAATTCTGACTTTATATCAGGCAATTCTGACGTTATATCTCACAATTCTGACTTTATATCAGGCAATTCTGACTTTATATCTCGCAATTATGACTATATCAGGCAATTCTGACTTTATATCACGCAATTCGGACTTTATATCTCACAATTCTGACTTAATATCAGGCAATTCTGACTTTATATCTCGCAATTATGACTATATCAGGCAATTCTGACTTTATATCAGGCAATTCTGACTTTATATCAGGCAATTCTGACTTTATATCTCGCAATTCTGACTATATCAGGCAATTCTGACTTTATATCACGCAATTCTGACTTTATATCTCGCAATTCTGACTTTATATCACACAATTCTGACTTTATATCACGCAATTCTGACTTTATATTAGGCAATTCTGACTTTATATCTCGCAATTATGACTTTATAACACGCAATTGTGTGATAAAAAGTCGCAATTATTTTTTTCTTTTTTTTAATTCAGTGGCGGAAACAAGCTTCCATAGTTTCGTGCTGCCAGTGCTGCAGATATTAACCTCACAAGAGCCAGGGGTCAGTTGCATAAACAGCCACAATGTTAAGAACTAGTCTGATCAACGGGTAATTAGTCTTACTTTTTGGATTCAAATTAGACCAATCTAGATTTTTTTGCAAGCGAGTTAAAAAAAAAAGAAAGAAAAAAAAAAAAAACTTGGATGACTACCTTATAAGACTAGTTTAAGCAGTGCATGCAACAGGCCACAGGCTGTGATTAAAACTGTAAACTATTTAAAAAAATGTTTTGATAAATCCTGCCAAAAATTCTGTTTTTAACATAAAGTATATCCAAACAAACAAACAAATAAATACCAAAATAAATTACTTTAAAAATCGATTAATACTCATTTTCGACAATTCATTCAAACATTATTTGTAATTGAAATAAATATGTATTTCCCATTTAAAAAAAAAAAAAAAACGTTAAAGAAACAATTGACTATGGCGCTATGATTCTGATTCTAATCCTGCAAATGAGGTGTCTTTGCACCAGTGTGAACCTTGTCAACAAGCTTAGTGGCGACCAATAAGAACAAACAATGGTGATGGGGAAGAAGAAACCAAGTTAAAGTTTGAAGGTGAACATGATTTAGTCATGATTCCCTGTTGCTCTTTCTACCTGCTACACAGCAACAGAACTTACTTTTGGTTTCGTGTGAGGGGGCACCAGGGTGAGGGAAGGAGGCGCCTGCAAGCTGGAGCATGGGTGCAGAGCCAGTTTGAGCATCTGATAGAGGAAGGAAGGGGTGGAGGGAGGACAGAGTAAGAGAAAAAAAAATAAAAAAAAGATGGAGAAAGGTATATGAAGGATGGATATTCATAGCAGGTAGATGGTGCCTGAGCTATTTCACACACAAGATCAAAGAGTGAGACATGAAAACACGTGGTATAAGCATGAAACTGTGCACCAAGCATGTAAGACCACTAGGAGGCGCTAAGCACAATACGTGTAAATAGCCTGTCAAATGAACCACTTATCTCCACCATCAACTATACAATGATTTATAAATAAATTACAATGCTGGTTGTCATTGAGAGAAAGGAGTCTCTATTCTGTACTAGACTAAGTGGCCCCAAAACATTCATTTGGACACTTAAATGTCTGAATATCATTTCATTCGAAAAACATAAAGTCAAGTGGCAATAACTAAACATTTTAAAGTAAATATAACAAACATATCTTTGTACAGTTTAATTGACCAAAAAATAGATATACTGGGGGTTTAAAAGCAATTAATATTCAGTAAATTGTAGCATTATAACTGCAGTTCACACTGTATTGAACTGAAGTTGTAATTGTAACTGTATTTGTTTCCTAATTAAAGAATTTTGCAACATTGATGCTGTTTGAGTTCCCAGATATATTGTTCTAAAAAAAACAAAGTTGGTTATAAATAAAATGGACTTGAACAACTTAATTTGATATTTACTTTAATTACTTGATATTTACTCTAATTCACTGACATTCGGACATTTATATTGTTACTTAAGTGTCCAAATAATGTGAATATAAGACTCATGGGATCACCAGGCAAACCTCCTCTAATGGGAAGTTTAAGGGAGGTCATCAACCCGCTCTACTCGGCTCTGCCCAAAAAGCTCTAATTTTAGCCCAATCTGGTCATTTAAGGGAAAGGAGAAACTCACCTACTATGAAAACAGCTACTATGTTTTAAAAGAGTGGAAACTTCCTGTTGATTTGGTCTTATTTGCACCCTAATTTGGAAAGGGGGTGGAGGTGACTCTCCAAATGTGTTCTGCCTCTCATGGTGGAAAAAAAGACAGCAGCCTAAGTATGAAGAAATGCTACTGAGATGGCACTAGCAAATGACAGTGACGAATTGAGTAAATACTAGGTGACCGACATAAGACAAGTGCTTTTGTGAGGGGATTTTACAAAGTTGTACACACAAATAAAACAACAACTTCGATCGCACAAAAACAACAAATGCTGGAGTCACTGCTGTAATAAACTTAAGGACAAAAAGGTATGGAGGGGGAGATGGGAATGCATACGCCTATTTATTCCAACCTTCTGATTCCAGTTTAGCTAACTTGATCATTCGTTTCCAATTTTCTAGTTTATAAAGGAATGCACATTTGGTGTGAAAAGGACGAGACAAGATGCATTCAGAGGTGAGGAAATTAGAATAATTTAACACGCTGGTCTGTAATCTGTAGGGAGCAAAGCATCCTGGTGCTGTTGGAACTGCTCTTATGGGGCAGCAAAGCAGTGCTCCTGGTCGAGAGACAGGTTTTCTGACATTTGAAATCATGGAACGGCAGTGCAGATGGTTACAGCAGATGGTTGAGGTGTTTGAGAGAGTCGATGATCTGAGGTCAGGGGTGAGGGGCATGGTGTGGTCGTAGTCTTACTGGTGACAGGTGTAGCGTTGTTGGGGGTGTCTGCCCTCAGGTACTGGGTGGTCTGGGTGGAGGGCTGAGAGAGACCCTGAGAGCTCCCACTGTCACTAACGCTAAAAGAAAGATGTAGAGAAAACATTTATTACTTTAGGAATTGAAAAAGCACATACTAAAGTTTTTTTGACTTATACTTGCACTTCTTGTAAAAACCTAAATTTCTCTAACTGAAACTGACCAGTCATTCAGTTTTAAATGGTTTCACAGCCTCTTTTGTGATGAAATCATCTGTTTTCGCAAAGGGTGTAGGGTTTTACCTGGCCCTGGACCCCAGTGCATTTAAAAACTAAGTGCTGTGTAATTGTTCTAATTAAAGCCATTAGACTCCAACTCCAAAGGTTAAACACTGAGGCCCCTGGAGAAAGAGCTAAAATGCTACAGATTTCACATGCCTCCTCAAACGTATTAAACCTAATCATGATCTAATGTCACGATTCATCATCATTGGTTTCTTCTGGTCTACTATTTTGAGGTGTGAAGCAAAAAGAACCCTATGCCAGTAAAAACACATCCTGGTTCTCATGTTATGTTTCGGAAGACAAATGGAGCCATGTGCCTCTTCTTGTGAATAGCAGTAGATAAAATCTAATCTACCACCCTTATATAATCCTGAAAAAGACAACTCTTTGTACTGATGCCTATTTCAGAAAAATGCTATTTAACTACTCCACACTCTTGAATGAAATTGGTAGGAGATAAGGTTTTATTTCTCCTGTCTCCTTTAGACAAACCTATATGTTTTTCTACTTAGGGAAAACAATCTGAAGATAGATAGACCGACAAACAGACAGAAATCATGAAAGCAAATGACTAGAACCTCTATAAAAACAAATTTGCCATAAACTACTGACAAGCAGATAGTTTTGGTGGTCTGAACTAACCAAATAATCAATCACAAAAATGCATGCATGCACACACACCTGTCATCCATTTCCACTCTCTTCATGCTGTGGAGGTGTAACACAGCGAGGATGATGGCTACTAGGAAGATGACGATGCAGCACACACACACGCTGATGTAAAAAACTCGCGTGGATGTGGTGGGAGCATTTGGACTGCTTGCTAAGCACAAAAGAGAGCAGAGAGGTTACAAGAGCAGTTAAAAAGTTAAAATGCCAAATAATGAATCACAAATACTCACGATCTATTCTCTGAATGGTTGTGTTTGGGAATGGCAGCGTTTTAGGGGGCTCCGGCTGCTCAATTCCTGTAAAGTACAAGCAATAAAGGGGAAAGATTAGCAAAGAGCCATGTTAATACCAGTTCACCATTTTATATTTTTTGCCACAAACTTGGGACAAATTTGTTTGTGACAAATCTCATTACACGAATATTATTATTTATTTATTTTTGTATAAGGCAAAAAGATACTATGATACAACAATTAATGTTTATTCTGATATCAACGTAATGGTCTGTAATGGCCTTTTTCTACATTTAAATTGAGATTTGATTTTTTTCCCCCCCTTTAAACTAAATTTTGGGTGGAAATATGTCCTGGACATCGTGTTGATGGGTCTCGTGAGATGAATCTAAACACATGAACTGGTTGAATTTGGATTCATTTATATTTGGTTTGTAAATTGTTGCCAGTGCAATAAAATCTCTCCTTTCACACAAAGTGTAAGACACACAATATATTCCAGAGCGTTACATACACGCTGACCCAGTTATTCCACAAGGGAGAGGAAATTGGGGCATACACAAACTCTTTTTCTTTTCCGAAGCTAATTTGGCTCATGTGCTTCGAATAAGCAGGGAATAAATTCACTGGCTATTTCCTCTGGGAAAGCATATGACAGAGGTATTGGTGTTATTGTGTTATTATCAACTTTGTGTGTCACATTGCCACATTGACTACGATCTGCCAAATGAACAAAACTCACTGAACACCTATAGCAGAAAATAGAGTGTAAAAAAAAAAAACACACAAACACATCTTTAGAAGTTTCTTACTCAAGTTTCTTTTAAGGAAATGATAAAGTAAACGTATATGAAAAGATCTTACTTCGGTAACACATTTTCCTGCGTTTGAAGTTAAGCACTGTGAAGTTGTTGGCTGGTGTAGTCAGGTTGAGCTGCACCGTTAGCACAGCCTCTCCATCAGCCTTTCCAGAGCAGAAGAGGTCCACTCTGAACACTACACAGAGAGAGACACACAGAAAGCACTTACTGGAGGCCCAAATTGAATTAAATGAATATATGAATGCAGGGCCTCATTTTGAGCTTTTTGAAAGAGTAAGGGCTGCTCTTCCTTTGTGTTGGCACAATACTTCATGCCCAATTCCTACTAAACTATGTGAGAACACATTTTAAAGACCTCCTCACACCAACACAATGTTCGGCACAAAAATTTGGTCCGATTTTTGCGTCCAATTTGTCTGTCCAGTCCAGTGGTTCTCAAAGTATGGGGGCACACGGGTACTGCAGTTGGGGCTCGAGAGATCAGCAGAAAAACAACTGAAAACAGCCGTTGCAAGTGCGTGAATAGTGTTTGGTGCACTGCCCTTTTAAAACGACACCGAACGCCCATTCCAATCTTTCTTCTTTGGTCCATTGACATTTTGCACTGTCTGAACAAGCCCGACAAAGAAGTTCCTCACCATCTCAAGCTGTTATTGTGAGTGCACCGCCCGCTGTCGTGTTCCAGCGAGAAGATGTCTAAGAAGCTGAGCTTGTCAGATGCCGTCAAAGGAGTTCACTGCAGCCACTGATTATATATTGTTCATACAAAGCATCACTGAAATATTACAATTTTTGTTTATTAAAATTAAAAGTTATGCTCTGATCTATCATTCTCTCTTACTGTTATATTTTTCCAGTGTTTCAATGGCATTACCAAATTAAACACTTGTAGTTTTCCATAAGAGGTTTTTCAACCCAATTGTTTGTCTTTTTTAGTTTCATCATTTGGTGGTTAGCTGTGGAGCGGACTTTGCGTGGGGCAGCAGGTTTTGTAAAGGTTTAAAGGGGGTGCGTGAACAGGAACAAATAACTCTGATTGTTGGTGTAGAGTATCTATAGACATGTTACCAACAGTGTGAATCTTATAGGCTGTCCAGATAATGGCCAGAAATTAGAACAAAAACCTCAGTTGCATTGGCGGTGCCGCAAATGTTTACTTCGGTCTGAATAGATGCATTAACAAATTAAAATAAAATTAAAATTCAGGCCGCATGGTAATTAAGAGTATTTAAAACCTAATAAAATAAAGCTGTGGGTTTTTAAGTTGACAGAACTTCTCATCAGTAAACGTCAGTCAAGAACTATTTTACCAATAGTTAACAGGTAATTTTTATGTGAGCATCTTTAAACATATCTAAAAGTAGAGCCGCTCTTTAGTTGTGAAAAAAAATAAATGTTCTTAGATAATCAACAGCATATTTTCCCTTGAATATACAACTGGATTTGTTTGGCTTACCGGAACGAGTGCGTGGGACCTCCCCCAGGGCAGAGATGTTGCTCTGGGGTTGATCCATGGCTGAAGTGTTTTCCACTTGAAACCCCAACCTATAATCCACCTGTGCAGGAAACAGGGAAAATAAATAAGATATTAGTATAAACCATTCACAAAGCATGTAATAAAGATATCTGCATTGTCAGCAGCCATTACTCCAGTCTTCAGTGTCACACTAAGCTGATTTGCTGCTCAATAAACATTTTTAATCATCATCACAGATGAAAACAGTTGTGCTTTTTTAGAACAGTTTGATGAATAGAAAGTTCAGAAGAACAGCATTTATTTTAAATAAAAATCTTTTGATACAATATAAATGTCTTTACTGTCACTTTTAATTTAATGCATCCTCACTGAATAAATGTTTTCATTTCTTTAACTTAAGAATACAAATTACCAGCCCCAAAATTTTAAATGGTAGTCATATGATATATGAACAGTGCCAACCTTGCTGCTGGAGTGCCATGTGAAATGTAGGCTGTTGGTGTCACTGGGCACAGGCAGGATGAAGGAAAGAGCATAGTGATTTACCACATCATCCCTCACGTAATACAACTCAGCATCAAGACCTGCAGAGAGAAAGAGAGAGCGAGAGATGATAAAACTGATCAGGACTGGCAGAATTAAACAGTTAAAATCATTTCACAGTCGCACAACCACTCCGCCTCAAGAGAGGATTAAAATATAGTTTCATACTGCCAGACCCTGCATTTCACCATCAAAATATAATATGTGCTTATTTAGGCTTAATGTATTCCACAGCGCCTGCAAGTATATGGTGGAGGAGGAATCCATGGCAACAATATATAAAATATATTTTTTTAGTGCAGTGACCAACCACTGTCTGACAAAGTTCCACTCCTTGTAGTAAAAAGCAAGATCTGGATCTATTATATCATAGAGGGCAGGTATGACAGCCACTGAAATATGATTACAATTTCCAATCAGGAGGATATGAGTTATAACAGGCTCAAGCATTCATGTTGAGATTCTGGAATGCTTCCCATTAAGCTGATGGGATCAAGGCTGCCGCCCAAGTTTTAACCACAGTTAATTCCTCTCTCTCTAGCCTGTCCATTTAGAACCACATAGAACAGTTTTCATCCAAGTTTCTACCAAGAACAATATCCTCAGCCACCCCCTCCACCATACAGTGAAGGGAAAACAGTATGTTTATGTTTAAGGACTTCACCCCTCTCTATCGTCAAAGCAAAACATCTCTACTCTCCCCTGTCTGGCCTCCATTTTCTAACGACGCTGTAATCTAAACAGTGCTTCCTTCCCGGCTACATTCCTGGGAGAGACTCGACCTGAAAAGCATTTCTACCAGACAGCCCGGCACACCTGCGATCCCAGTTGGGTCAGTGACGTGCCGCACTGATTTGCACTTCCAGGAGCAATAAATATTATATATTAATATAAAATAGGTTTAAATTATATACATGTTTTAATCTCACATCATCTGTCCTCCTCACTGTTCTTGATTGTGTTAAATTTCAAAAATAGGTAATTTTTTGACTATTAATGTGGTCAAATGTCAAACGGTCAAACGGAGTTCACTTAGTTACAAAGTTACTTTTCATTCACAAAGTTATTTAGGACAATTGTATATAAAATTATTAAAAATGTTTAATAATGATAACATTTTTCATTTGGCATATTTTTTCAAGTCATAAGATAAGCATATTAAAGTATCAGTAAGATAGTCCTTTCAGAAATGTAATTAGTATCTAAAACAAATTGTTCCGCAAAAACACATTTTCCTCATACGGTAAAACAAAGTTTAGAAGCCATTTTGGAACTGAATATTAATGACTTAAGTCATGTGAAATTTGATATCACTCAGAGGACCCCTAAAGACCAGCCAAGTTGAAGGCAAGTTTAAGATTTTGCTCCTACATTTGGGGTAATTTCACCTTTTCCAAGTGTGTTACCATGTGTCACAGATTTGGGTGTCATATGGTCAAACGTCAAAAAGGGTTTAAAACATTTAAAATTTGAAAAAAAAAAATTTATTTACAGGTGAAATATAAAGTTTAAAAGTCAAGGTAAAGGGTAAAGATGGAAGGAGGTGGCCAAGCAACTGCCTGTTATAAATGACACAGCACAAAATTGTCATAAGGGCAAACAAAAAATGTCATACAGACAAACGATTTTACCGTATGAAATGTTGTTATACCATATGACACAGAGCATTTAACTGTTATATCACATATATAGTTTGTACGACTACTATGAATTAATATTAACATACATAATATATTTCTGCCTATTTTAAGCATTTTTTCACATTAAATACAGATGCCTCTTTCTAGTAAGGAGAGGGGTGCATGTTTCCGTGCAAAACTAAAGGCAGATCCTGCAGCTAGAGAGGAGAACATAGCCAAGAGGAGGGAAAGGTGTAACTGTGAGAGTATATGATGCCAGTAATGTTAGGATGTGCCAGTTTAGTCAGTATAGGCAGTATCTTATCTATAGGCCTGAGTTGAAGTCAGCATCACAATGTTTCTAGAAAGTGGCTTCATATACAGTGGGGCCAAAAAGTATTTAGTCAGCCACTGATTGTGCAAGTTCTCCTACTTAGAATGTTGAGAGAGGTCTGTAATTTTCATCATAGGAACACTTCAAATATGTAAACACTGTAAACACCAGCTACAGTGTGTGCAAACCTGGTGAAGACTTACAGGAAACGTTTGACCTCTGTCATTGCCAACAAAGGTTATGTTGAAAAGTATTGAGTTTAACTTTTGTTATTGACCAAACAATTATTTTCCACCATAATTTACAAATAAATTCTTTAAAAATCCTAATGTGATTTCCTGGATTTTTTTTTTCTTCTCATTTTGTCTCTCATAGTTGAATTGTACCTATGATGAAAATTACAGACCTCTCTCATTACTCTAAGTTGGAGAACTTGCACAATCAGTGGCTTACTAAATACTTTTTGGCCCCTCTGTAGATATATTATTCACGTGTGTGTGTGTGTGTGTATCTCACTGTTGTAAATCTGACTGATATTGTCATGTTTTACATATAGCACGTGCACGTCCTATGTGTTCCTTGTACTGAAAGAGAGTTGAGTTGACTAAAAGAAATGTTCATGTGTTGGGAAATATATTCTACTGTTAAAAAAAAAGTTCACCTGCCTGTTTCTTTGAAATCATTTTGAATTGGCCTACATCAATTTATTACATTAAAAATGCAATAAAACATTGAAATTGCACTATGTCATGTGGTAAAACAAAATATGTCCTATGGTAAAACATTGAATTTTAAAAGAAATAAAAATAGATACTTTGTTTGTTTACAGGGTTCATGAAAATAATGGAGGAGAGCTAGTATGATATACATATATATAACTTCAAGGCATTTTTGACTAATTTCTTGCAAAAAAAAAATAGAACAAATGTCCATAGATGACATGCTGTGGTTGTTAAAAAACAAAATATCTAGTATTTGGTGTAGGTGGTTATATTTTGCAACTTGTTATATAATACTTACAGATCAACTATTACATTCATGGTTGTTTTTAACTGTGTCATGAATATCAAATTTAATTTATTCCTAAAAATCACTTAGTTTTACCGTATGACATTTTCAAGGACTGTATACAAAGAAACGCATTAAAATGTCATATATTGTTATTTTTTATAAAGGGCACTGATAAAAACAAAAATATACACATAGATGTACACAAAAAATGCTATATTTAATTTGTCCTTTCATTTTTATTTTTTTTACTGTTTTGAAATTCTAAAACGTCAATGACCCAGTTATACTGCATCCAGCCCTCAATTAAGAACTGGACCAGAGAGAGGCTCTGATGATGAACATGAAACTGAGGTCTAAAGCAGAGGTTGACTCCCAGCACACGAATGAGACACAGGGATGTGTAAAGTTGATTGACAGCTGGAATCTCCTGCGGCCTGCCATGCCTTAGAGCAAACCTTATCATGACTGAAAGGCCCCGCTGCGGCTGACTGGAGCCTATCTGTCTGTCATGGTGTCTGCTCAAACATAAGGGGGGTAGGAGTACACAAACCCTTTCTAGAACATATATGAAACAACAGTAGATATTTTGTTTGTTTTGTTTTTTTGCTAAAATTTTACATGTGTTAGGTGTACACCAAGAAAATATAATATATACACATAAAAAACAATATACACTATTGTTCAAAAGTTTGTGGCCTGTAAGATTTTGCTTTATGTCTGCTTTAACACATCCTCTGTGGCTCTGTTGTGAAATGGGCTGATGGCACAATACGGCTATGTGCATTGGGCTTATAAAAACTGCTCACATTTTTGATTTCATTAGAGCTGTTTGTACATAGTAAAAAGGTTAAATCAAGCTACTAATTTGTTTGTCATTTTTTAATTGTGAGCCTCCCCTTTACATAACACAATTTATGCATATGGGTCTGCTCACAATAAGCGCTGTAAGAATTGAACGAAGAAAATCAACATTTCCCAGCACCTGTGTGATGCGTTAAATCAGGCAAAGTGGTTTACTAAAGGGTGTTTAGATCTTGTGAAATACTACATTTTTGTATATTTTACTGTACCAATATTTTTAATAGGCCATTAAAGTTTTATATGGCACAATATAAACATACTGCCCTTTTGAAATCCAAAATTTGGTAACTTTTTACAGTAACAATTCTTTTTTATGAACCATTAAATTTGGCATATAGGACATTGCACACTGAGCTACCTATTGTACCATCAACCCATTTCGACAGTTTCTCAGCAACCACAGAGTTATTTTTTTTTAAAGCGGACATAAGGCCCTGAAATATGATGTACTGCCCCCAAAAAAGCAAAATTGAGAGCACTTTTTACTATATCAGTATTTTTTTATGGACCCTTGAACTTGGCAAATAGGACAATGCACACAGCCGTATTGCGCCATCAGCCCATTTCCCAGTTTCTCGGCCGTCACCAATCAGGATACAAGACCAGGATATAAGGAAATGATATTAGAGTATACGGCCCAAACGAAAGCCAATTTTGAGCAAATAGATCTTTTATTAATTCATTAATTAATTAATAAGACAGTAGGCCTAAACATAAACCAGAAATGATAACACGAGTACTTCCTTGCTCAAGTGAGAAAAGTTTCTTGTGCACAAGCTATAGTTTCTCATGAGCACTTAATAGTTTCTAATAAATATTTCTACTTAAATAAAATATAGCACTTAATAGTTTCTAGTTAATATTTCTAGTTAAATAAAAAAACAATTAAATAAATTATTACAGTGATGTTAAAGCTGAATTTTCAGCAGCCAGTAAGTATCCTCTACACATTCCGCACCAGCTGGTAGCATTACAGAATAGCACGAGGTACCAGACAGCAGGCCAACAGTGATATGAGGTTGCCCACCTATGGAGGAAAAAAACAGTGTGTGGCCCCCAAAACAGACACACTCAAGATGCAGGAGTCCTCAAAGTTCAGACAGACTGACATAATCCTCTGAGCATAGAGGGAAAGAAAATCAGCCAGCTGTGAGAGAGTACTCAGGCGTGAGTTATACTAGACACATATCCACAGACTTGAGACTAATTAACGTTC